CATATGATGAATTAATTTTTACTTTTTGATTACCATATTGAAAATTAGAGTACAAAGACTCATTATCATAACAACCACTCAGCTAATTATTCAGGGCTCATAGAAAGCTTTTTTGTTCATATAAATTTTCTTAAATATTATGTTTTCCTTTATTATTATAATTTTTAATTTGCAATTTTAATATAATTAATCTTATGTGAAAACTAATGTGAACAACAGTATTGGAATAGCTATAAATTGCTACTTTTGTTATAAAAGAGAAAAATTTTCATATCATATCTAAAATTTCTCTCTGGTCAAAACACCTTTAATTCTTTTTCCTTTTGACTATGTACAGTGAAAATAGCATTTTAAAGGTAATTTTCAGTCACTTTTAGGTGGTGTACTATGTGCACTTTACAATTGATTCATAATTGGACTGTGCTGACAATGGAAAATCTTCTAAGTATTGAGCATGACATTTATGACAGTATTGCTGTCATCTTGGCTTCTTTTATTGAAAATTCAGAGAATTATAATTGGGCTAACAAGCCTGGTAGCCTGGTCCCTCTCCAATTATACTAACTAGCCTATTCTAGTATTTGCTGCCTGAACACACATAGCAACAGGAATAGAGGTTCTGTTTTCCTTTCTATTTTATTTTGGTTAGTGCCCAAGAATCTAAGAATAAATCCTCTTTGTCTGTATGTTATGAAAACTTTTGATAATTTAATGTGGTTCTATCAATAAAAAACAAGTATTTTTGTTTTTAAAAGTATATTTCATTAAAACTTTAAAATATTTTATTTATTATATAATGTGTATGAGTGTATTGCCTACACATACATAGTTGCCCCCGTGTCTTTCAATGCTCATGGAAAACAGAAGAGGGCATCTAATTACCTGGAACTGGAGTCATGGACTGTTGTCAGCCACCATGTGGGTGCTGGGATTTGAACCTGGGTCTTCTGCAAGAATGGCCAGTGCTTTTCATTACTGAGTCATCTTTCCAAGCCCTTAATTAATTTTTAATAAAACAAATTCCTATAAAAGATTGATTACAACTGTTGTTACAATGTACTATTTTCTCAGTAATTTAAGAGTTTTGAAAATATTTTCCCTGAGCTCATGCCAAAGAAAAATTTCTCTTAACATAAACCAATCCGTATATTAATGTAGTAGAATGTTTCACTTGAAATTCAGTCAAATAATTTAGTATAATATAAAAGGCGAGTTTCTTTTAATTTTTAAAACAATAAAAATGAAACATTAAGGCAATAATAATTCTTAGTGATTTTAATGCAGTGTGTCTTCAATATAGAATATTGAACTTTTTGTTCTTATTTTTTCTTTGTTTTTCTGGTTTCTACTCATTTGAGAGCATTCAATATGCTACCATATTTTGTTTCAATACAGTGTCTAAATTTCTGTCTGAAGAATTTAAGGTAATATCAATGTTAGTTTTTTCTGTACTGAAATATGAAAAACACCTAAAAATTTTGTGATATAGAAATAAAAGAACTCTACAGTATATGTGGAATATTTCATTCAGATGCATTTTACAGAATTCTAATTAACAGGAAAAAGTACTACTAAAAGCTATGTCAAAAATGGCTTCATATTTTGTGTATGATGTAGAAAATATGTATTTATCTACATAAATGAGTTATAATCATGCAGAAATCTGGAAAATGTGAATACAAAAGACTGAACACTAGAATAATATGATCTTTTCTATGGAAATGAAATACAAAGAATTCATTATTTACTTTTATAGGAAGTGAATTTTAATGTTCACAGTTAAACTAGAAATAATTAATTTTTTAGTAATCATGCAATACAAAATTAACACTGGTTATTTTAGAAACTGACTAGTGAAGAGTAGTAATGATGTTTACATCTTTAATAACATTTCAATTTTTTTATTTACTTATTTGTGTTTGTGAAGATGAAATCCAGGTCCTAGTGAATGTTATTTATCTACTCTCTAGATCAACATAATTATTGATGTATTTCAAATTTGTACTTGAAAAATGAAGTAAGTATTCCATTTGTTAGCAAAGAGTAGATTTCTTAGTGCAAAAGTAAATGGGTGAAATTTGGACTTAATACTATACACATTAGTGATAATTGGGTAATTAATTTGCTTATGAATTTTGTCATCAAATTTAGCTTTAAAATACCACAAAACTACTGGGAGAGGAAGAGTTGCTTTCTTTAAGGGTGTGATACTAGATAGGTTAACAAGGCTCCAGTAGATGGATGTACAGCAAAGGACATTTGTGGGCACAGACTTGAAGTCTGGAATGGGGGAGGAGCACTATAAGAAAGGTGCAAACTGGGGAGGCATTCTAATTGTGATCAAAATATGTAAAAATTTTAAAAATTCAATAGCTTATTATACCTTGACATAAACGACAGAGTGTATAAAATCCAGTGGGCACTCTATGGGGGGTACAGATGGGGGAGGTGGACTAAATATTATTAAGATGTATTTTACGAAATGCCCAGAAGTTCAATAAAAATACATATTATATTTAAAAAATCAGAAAAAATCACACAACAGTTTTGTGACCATTTGTATTCCCCCACAGTAAGTTCCACTTTAAAGTTATGAATGAAACACTTGGAATTTTAGGGAGATTTAATAAAAATTTCTGAAACAGGTTTATTTTATATAACTTTTTGTATGAAAATATTTAGTATGATATTGAATACAAATGAAATTTCACGCAAGTAGTCTGACATTGAACTAAACAATCTCGAAATTTTTCTTCATATCTTATAACAAAGAATGAAATGTAACTAAAACTTTTCCATATATATTTCCTGTTTGGTTATCTAAAATTTGAATTAAATTTCACAACACATCAGTCCTCTGAACTGGAAAATCCATATCTCCCAGTGTGCTGGATAGCTTTAGTGTCAACTTGACACACCTGGGTTGAGGAAGCCTCAATTGGGGAATTGCCTCTATTGGACTGGCCTGTGGACATGTCTGAGGGGCATCTTCTTGATGAGTGATGTGGGAGGGCCCAGCACACTGTGGGTGGTGCCACCCCTGGGCAGGTGGGCCTATGTAGCATAAGAAAGCAGGCTGAGCAGGGGCCAGGGGAGCAAGCCAGTAAACAGTGTTCCTCCATGGCCTGTGCTCCAGCTCCTGACTCCAGGTTCCTGCCCTGAATTTTACCTTGGGCTCCATGATGAACTGTGACCTGGGAGATGTAAGACAAATAAACCCTTTCCTCCCCAAGTTGCTAGTGGTTAGAGTATTTTGCCACAGCAATGAAGAAACAAAGACACCCAGTTAGAAAATAGCTGCTTGCTTCAACACTAATAGAAAGTGAACAAACAATCCCTCCTCTTTCAATCTTCTTTTGTAAATCATATCTAATCAGAGCAGAAAGTATCATTTCAGAAGGGTTTAGAGGCACCTAATTATGCACTTTGAGGGGAAGTCATCCTTTGACGGAGGGACTGGCCTACAGGATTAATTAATTTCCTCATAAAATTTACTTCTTCCCCAAATACTGTTTTCCATTACATATAAATAAGCATAAATTTCTACTTCTTAAAGGAATCATGCCAATTAAAGTAACGGAATTTTCAAACTTCATAGCTATGTAGCCAACCAAGTGCCAAATTGGGCCAAGGCCAACAAATCATATGGAATGAACGGAGCTTTGCTATAGAGCTTGCACTTGTAGTTTACCTAGTGTCTTAGTTCCTTCAGTCCCTACGCCTGAGATTGAAATGTTAGAGTTAGATACACCAATGTTAAAATTCTAAACTTGTTCCTTTCTAGCTCTGTCACCTTCATCCTGCTACATCTGTGAAGAGCTGTTCTCAGTGTCTGGATGATGTAAAATGCTCAAACTACACATCCGTGTGAAAGCTTCATACCTCATGGGTTATATGTTCATTGTTAAATACTATTAAATGTATTCAAATCATTCATGAGTATTCTTTTTAATTTTTTATAGAATTATTGATAGTTTTATACAATATAATGTGATGGTATTTAGAGCCCCTCCCCCATCAGCACCTCCCTCCTCTGGCACCTGCCCATTTCAATGAAATCCGCTAATATGCAATACGGCCTATAGATTCTGATTTGTGTGCCCACATGTCCCTCAGCATGAGTTCATCCACTGGAGCCTAGCAAGCCTACCAAGAGTCTCATCCCTGGAGGAGGCTGTCACTCCATCTCTTAGGTGTCATCAGTTACTGAAAGTTCCTTAGGTTGGGTTGGGACTTCTTATCATGTCTCTACGTTGGTATTTTATCTGATTTGAACTTGCATGAGACTTATGCAAGATGTAAACCATTTCTGTGAGTTCAGCTGCTGTGTGTAACTGGTCAGCTGTCTGGAAATCTCTGTTTCCTTGTGGTCGTCACCCCCTCTGATTATTAAAAATCTTTCCACCCCCTCTTCTGCAATGATCCTTGAGATTAGGGAGGCAGAATAGGCTCATGAATATTCTTTAAAATTTTATTAATTAAAACTTGAGCTAAGAAAAAATATGAAATTAAAGATGTGTATTCTTTTTTTAAAAAAAAAATTTGTTATTTTTATTGTATGTGTATGAGTGTATTGCCTGCATGTATGTGAGTGTTCCTGTATCATGCAATGCCGCAGAGGTCAGAAGAGGTCTTCAGATTCCCCTGGAACTGGAGTTAAGGACAGTTCGTCGCCTCCATGTGGGTGCTAGGAATCAAACCCTGGTTCTCTGCAAAACCAGTCAGTGCTCTTAACTGCTGAGCCATCTCTCCAGATCCATGTATTCTTTAAACGGAATTTGGGATGTTGTGCTTGGGATTACCTCATACTATTTAATAAATCATACTAATCAATAATTTTAATAATGTACTAATAAACTATATTAATCACGTTTTATTTTCATACATACAGTCTTCCTCAGCTTTAACTAACGTTAATGGCATGTCTGTTTTCCTGTGGGATGTTCTATCTAACATCTAATATATCTCTTTCTTCTTGTGCAACCTTTCCTTGGAACCAGCTGCTGCTTCAAAGAATAAAGTTAAAGGTGAGCTTAGTCTTTTCTGCATGATTCATCATGATTTGTTTCCTACTCTGTCTTCTAATTTCTCATAAATAACTGAATCTCTTGTTGGTGATAGCCTTATTTTGCTCTGCATGTATTGTTAATGTTTCTACAAATACAAATACATTAATTTAATGTTTAGTATCTGATGCATGTCTGTGTTTGCATGGTTGTTGGAATGTAATATTTTTGTACCTTATTCTATGGAATAATTCTGTCTGATGAATTTGTTTCCTTAAAAAATTTAGAGCTAGATAAAATATGACATAAAATGACATTAATGTAATGCCTCAATATGGTTCCTGTCTTTATAGAATTATGTGAAAAAAATTCAACATTCTAAAAAGTAAATATTATAATTATAAACTATGGAATTATGTTTAGCAATTTTCTTTTGTTTCAAAGGTGCATTAATTTTCTGTTGGTTAGATAACTGAAAATAAAATTTCCTGAATGGGACACTCTTAGTCCTTGTCTAAAATATCTCCATGAAAGAGCAAAGGACTTGGCTTAATGTGTTCAAGCATTTATGGATTTGAAGCATTGTAAATACGTGAATGATAGTGTGTGGCGGATACACAGTTTATGAATTACATTTTAGTATTTCCCAGAGTACTTTATATAGTTAAAATGCTTTTATGGGTTGTGTCCTAATTACTTTCTATTGCTGTGATAAAACACTGACTGAAACCAACTTGGGAGTGAAAGGGTATATTTGGCTTGCAGTACACAGTCCATCATCAATGGAAGCCAAGGCAGAAGCTCAGGGTGGAAACCTGGTGCACTGCTTATTGCATTTCTCCATTAGCCTGTGCTCAGCATGCTTTCTTGTATAACACAATAGTACCAGGCCAGGGGTGGCACCACCCAAATTGAGCCGAGCCCCTCCCACATCACTCAATCCAGAAAATGCCTCACAGGCATGGCCAAAGGAGGCAGGGAGGAAATTCCTCAACTGAGGTTCCTTCCACCCAGTTGTGTTAAGTTGACAACTGTAGCTATTCAGCACAGACTGAGATATAGTTCCGTAGCAGGAAGCTTTCTCAGAGCATGAGACTCTGAGTTCAATTCCAAGCACCAAAATAAAATTATACTTCTGTTTCCTTAAATATTCTAAGCTACTTTTTAAAATCTTTTGAGTCAAGTTCTACGTTTACAGTTAGTTGTAACACCTTAATAAATCCAGCCTTTAGTGTTGACTGCTTCCTATTCCTAAGGCCAAGTATTTGTTTTCAGCAATTTTACAGGAAATACATTTTTTTTATCAAATATTACAATTATAAAGGCTGAGATGGCAAATTATTACCACCTTTCTTATGTCCTCAAACCTAGCCTATTTTCTTGCTCCAGTAAACATGGCAGATGATTGAATGAAATTAGGCACAGTGATTTTTTTTTTTTTGTCTACTTCATGAAAATGACAATTAAAAAATATTCATGGAAACTTGGAGAGATAGCTCAGAGGTTAAGAACACTTGATGCTCTTGCAGAGGACTGGGATTCAGTTCCCAGCACCCATGTGGCTGTTAATAACCATCCATAACTCCAATTCCAGGAGATATGTACATACATGCAGGAAAAACACTCAAATACATGAGGTAAAAATGAGTGACTGACTGAATGAAATACATTTATAATCTAAACAAGATATTACTTGATAATGAGCATATTTATAAATTTACAAACATAGTATGTTTCTATAACAGAAGGTTACGAGGTGTGATTTTTAGGAATGGAGATTAAAGAACAGTTTATAATAACATGCTAATTGTGGAGTATAGTATATGAGTATAAGTAATGCTATGTATGACTTGGGGAGGTCTTTAAGTGGGAGATAGAACATGAAATAGTTCTTAAAGGATGGCTATGTTATGCACAGAAAAATGTAGTCTATAAAAAAGTATTAGTGTAAGTGTAGTGTAAGACATGGTAGTGGTGGTAAGAACAATCTATTTCAGCACAGTGAGAAGACATTTTGAATTAAGTACTCCATTTTTGTAAGAAAGAAGAGAGGGTAATGTTCTGAAGATTATACAGTAGGCAATGGAGCAATCATAGGTTAACATTACTCCATTTCATTACATAAAGCCGACAACACGGCAGACAGTAGCAAGGATATCAGAGTATAAGGGCTTTAGTCGGGGGAGGGAGGCTATGGGAGGGTGCTCTCTGGGAAGTGAGTGTATAGTCGAATGAGATGATTTGGGATGTTCTGTGTGATACACACACACACACACACACACACACAAAATCAACAAATTTTTAAAGGCTGTATTATGTTTGAGGAGAAGGCATGGAGGTTTGTGTCATGCTGATTGGTAGAGGTGGTGGACAATACCATTGAAGTCTGCCTGATTACTTTGGAGATATACACAGGCACTAAGGATCCAAGTGCAACCGATTATGACTGGTAATAGATACATACAAATTGGAGATACAAGCGCCAACATCTCAGTGTTGTTCGCAAAAACAATGAGTCCTTCTGCAACGAAAAATATATTCTAAAATGAAATGGAAATTTTTTTTTAAAGGTTAAAAACTCATCCAATTTTATGTCTTACAGGGCTTATACTGAGTTCAATAATATATGACTGTATTAATTCAACTGTGAACCTAGAAACTTGCACCCACTTGTGAAAGAGATATACTCTTGCTCTGGAGTGTGTTACTGAATATATTAAAGCTGTAGTGAAAAGCTTCTAATCATATTGTTATTAAATTTTTTTTAAATGCTTAAAAAATAATTCTTCAAAACATAAAAATTTGCTCCTTAATAATTAGTAAATGTGAAAAGCATTATCATTGAAATCTACCTGATGACTTTATATCCATTCTCAGATGCCAATGACCTCAGAAAATAACTGACTGTGACTAATAATAATCTGATATATAGAGATTAGAAATGCATGTGCAAACATCTTAATGTCAATTATATTAAAAATGAAGTTTTCTGTATGGAAAAAAAAAAGCCCCTGGTACTGATGATGTCTGTGTTTACTTAATAATTTGCAAAAATAAATGAAATTTTAATCCAATAGATAGAAGTCTTCAGTGTAAGAAAATAAACACATGATTGAGGGATATACCTGTAAATCCTACCAAACACTAGGTAATTTTAACATGTAAGCATACTTCTGGGCCTAGTTTAATTTTAAATTCCTCGACGACCTTCCTTATTGTTGCATGATCCTCATTTTGTTTAAATATCCTCTCTCCAATTGCATGCAAATAAGCAAGGAGATTTCATGCAGGTTTTTTTAATGTCCTTTCTTTGTTTGAACAAGATTTTATAAAGGCCAGAAATACATTTTTAAAAAATTAATTGTACTTCAGATAAAAATTTAACTTCTAACCAATGTTTGAAAAAAGATGTACATTTACATGAAAGGTAACTGACAGAGCTGATCAATGCATTTCTTTCCCAATCTAGGTCAAGTAAATAGCCTTTAAACAGGAATAGAAATGTCAATAAGCCCAGCGTGGTGGCACTCGCCTTTAATCCCAGCACTCGGGAGGCAGAGGCAGGCAGATCTCTGTGAGTTCAAGGCCAGCTTGGTCTACATAGTGAGTTCCAGGACAGCTGGGGCTACAGGGAGACCCTGTCTCAAAAAGACGAAAAAAAAAAAAAAAAAAAAAACGAAAAAAAATGTGAATAAGATGAAAATAAAACTGTGGTAGCACAAGAGCAATAGCTGTGTAAAATTAACTAATTTCTCCTGGCTGAGACATTACTTTCCATGGAATATTTGGGGTGATTCATCTTTCCTTCATTTGTCCTTGAGGTATCATGCAAACACAGGATGATCTGGAAGACTGAAGAAAAAAATGTTTTCTCATTTTATTTTTAAAAGAAGGAATTCGTTGTTGATCCACAGATTCACAGATTTTTCACCAATGTTGGTGTAATTTTATTAAATCTTCAAAGAATTTTGATTTGTGAATCTATAGAGAGTTCACTTGCAGTCATTCATGGCAAGTAATGAGATAGAAAACTACTTTAATTCTCCACGCACTTCTTTTATTTTTTTAATTATGTGACCAATCAGCATATCTTAGGGCAGTCGTATATGTATGTATTATCTTCTTCTTCTGTTTTGAGACAGGGTCTCCCTGGAATCTCAGCTAACCTGAAATTCAATATGTAGTTTCGTCAAAGGGAGGCTAATGACCCAATCCTGTTGCTTTTTGGAAATGTAGATCTGAGAAATGGTGAGATGCCCCAGCAATGTGCTTACAGCAAAGCAGAAGTCACTTACAAGCAGCATTCAATCTCTAGAACCCATGAAAAAATATACTCTACGTGAGGCAAACACTTGTAATCCTAGTGCTGGGGAAGCAGAAGCAGGAGGATCCCTGGAGTTCATACCTATCCTTCTTGATAAATCCCAGGCCAGTGAGTGAACCCTTAAAATTGGAAGATTTTCCGAAGATGCACACACACAAGGCTGCCCTCTATTCTTCACACACATCTGCACACATATGAACATATGAACACATTATCACAGGCACACACTCACAATAGAAAACAAGCACACAGAACATAGAAGTGGGAAAGAAGAAGGAAGTAAAAGAAGCAATAAGCTATAAAGACTTCAGCTAATCACTTCTGTTACTTTTATGTCTATAAGTTTTGTGTGCTAGGTTAATAGAAAAAGTCTAAGAAGGAAAAAAATGAAGCAGTAAGTCACAAAAACTGAATTCAAAAGTACCCCAAAGAACCAAAGCCCCTCATTCTAATGTGTTTTGAGGGTTTATTTTATTAATGTTTTTGGTGAATGATAGGTTTTATTTTAATTAGCTTTCCAGATAGGTTTCTTTTGTCTACAATCAAAACAGCTAATTACTATAATTGTCTCCTTTAAAGTTTCCTTTATTGATATGCTCTCTTTGGATAGCCCCTTCACCATGTAAAACACTACTAACTGAACATTAAATATTAACATTTTACTTCATCTTCCAAATTTGATTATTCAACTTCCCAT